TCACGGTCTCTCCTGCCCGGGCTGGCTTTGAACCGCGATCCTCAGATCTCAGCCTCCTGAGTAGCTAGGATTACAGGCGTGAGCCACCAGCGCCCGGCTCGGCTTTTTTCTTTTTGCTTATGTGGTGCTGAGGAATCGAACCCAGGGCCTCATGCATGTAAGGCAAGCACTCTACCACTGAGCCACCTTCTCAGCCCCTTTTCTCTCTTTTTCAAAAGAAAATTTATTGTCTATTAAAGATGCTATACAGAGAAGTTGTAACCTCAGCAAGGTTGTTACATCAGTAAGGTCATGAGTACATTTCTTGTCAAGCATTGTTACCCCCTCCTTTGTTTTGTTTTTGAGATAAAGGTTTCAAAAGTTTTGTCTGAACTGTCTTTCCCTGGACCATAGTCCTCCTACTATGCTGGGATTCCAGCAAATGGCACCACACTGCCTTGTTTGTTGAACTAAGGCTGCATTAACCTCCCCACCCTTCACTCCCAAGGCTGGCCTCAAACTTAAAACCTTTCTTATCTCTGTCTATTCTAGCAGCTGGGATTACATACGCTTACTACCACAGCCAGCCTTACTGCATCATTTTTATATGTATAAACTGCACACTGTTATTATTTCCTACATCTTCAGTGAACATGGTTTCATACATATGTTTGAAGAGGATTATTGTTTTTATTTCCAGTTATCATGATTATTTTTATTGCCAATTATATTTTCTCATCTAATTCCTATTACTTGAGTTATTTTTTTAGCTCCCTATTAAGGGTAATAAAGATATTGGTTGAATATCCCTTATACAAAATAAAAGTTTTTCCAGTTTTGGATTTTTTTCATTTTGAAATGTTTGTATAAAATTTGTAAGTTGAGCTTACCTAATCCAAACTTTTAAAAGTTTAAATGAAGCAGCTGAGAGATTAAATTCTAGGGTTATAAAATCTTAAGTTCTAGTTCATTACAGTAAGCTGAATTTAGTTGTTTCTGACTGACTGCATTAATCATTTGTGATTCCTTTGTTATCCATTTAAATGTATTTTTATTTTCCAAAAACAAATGAAAGTTAAAACAAATGAAGTTAAAAATAATGAAGTATTTTGAACCTCTTTTATGAGTTTTATAGAAATTAATTAAGCTTATTTAATTAGTGCTTTAATATTTCGTTTCTTCTTCTTCTTTTTTTTTTGGTCAGTTGTGGGGCTTGAACTCTAGACCTGCGTGCTGTCCCTGAGCTCTTCAGCTCAAGGCTAGTGCTCTACCACTTGAGCCTCAGTGCCACTTCTGGCCTTTTCTGTTTATGTGGTGCTGAGGAATTGAACCCAGGGCCTCATGCATATGAGGCAATCACTCTACCACTGAGCCACCTTTCCAGCTCTGCTTTAATATTTTCAAATTAAAAATATCAGTTAAAGAATCCTTGTAGAATCCTTTAGCCAGAGCAAGCAGTTAAGCATCACATTCAATATGTAGTATTTTCTGATGTTAGGCATTTAGTTGTTTTCAAATGTGCTTACAACAGACACCAAGTCATTTTAGAAATCTTAGTGTCAAATAAATTGCTAAAATTATTTAAGTTAGGAAGTATATAGCTTTTTTCTTTTATAGAGAAGTTTTGAAGTCATCCAAAAAAAGTATAAATGGAAAAAATTGTAGTTTCTTATATTTTAACACATACTCTTAGAAAACTCACCTTCAGCTTTTTAAGAGTCTGTTGGTCTTTATGCATCTGTTACTTCTTTCTTAGGGATAGTAAAGCCCTGAAGGATGAAAATCTCCCTCCTGTCATCTGCCAGGATGTAGAAAATCTACAGTGAGTATCAAATGGAATTAGATAATTATGTTTGGGAGAATTCTGTAATCTATTTTAGGGGAAACATTTCTTCCTCCTCCACATTTTAACTTGGGTTAAAATTTATTGCTTTTAAAAACATAAAAATAGGAGCTGGGAAGGTGGCTCAGTGGTAGAGTGCTTGCCTTGCAAGCCTGAGGCCCTGGGTTCGATTCCTCAGCACCACATAAGCAAAATAAAAAGCCGGAAGTGGCGCTGTGGCTCAAGTGGTAGAGCACTAGCCTTGAGCTGAAGAGTTGAGGGACCGTGCCCAGTCCCAGAGTTCAGGCCCCACGACCGGACCCAAAAATAAATAAAAAATAAAAACATAAAAATAAGGATTATTTAACTACCATTCTATTAAAAATAACTATGTGAATTATAGGTGAATTCTTAGTTTTTGTTTCTTAATATACTTAAGTTCAGTTTTGTTTACTATTTTAGGAAATTTGTGAAGGAACAAAAACAGGTCCAAGAAGAAATTAGTAGAATGTCTTCAAAAGCAATGCTTAAAGTCCAGGAGGATATTAAAGCCCTAAAGCAGCTTCTGTCATTGGCTGCCAGTGGACTGCAGAGAAACACCCTCAATATTGACAAATTGAAAGTAGAAACTGCTCAGGTATGCCAACCTAGTCATTTTACCGTAGGATGCTTTGTACTTCTTTTTTTTGTAAGATGAGAATCGGGATTGTGTAATTGTAAACTTTGATACACATGTACTACAAGAAAACTAGATCGATCATTCATATAATGTTACTTGTTTTATTAAATATTACTGTATGAATCAGTATCCTAAGCAACTTTCATCTATTAACCTTGTTCAGTTTTCACGGCAGCTCTTTGAGGTGGATACTCTTATCTTCAGTATATATAAAAAAAAATAGAGAACTATGTCAGTAAGTTGAGAAGTCTGGATTCAGACCTGGTACTCCCAACTCTACAGTTATGCCCTTAGCTGTTTTGTTTCTTGAGTGGCTAAATTGATCTGTTACAGAAGAAGAAAACAGACTGAGTGTTCATGATGGTGTTCTTACAATATAGAGAATGATACCTCTATGTTCAATCTTGAAAAACAGATAATGGGCAAAAAAACAGCAGTATGACGTAGGACTGCTTTACTTTGCTGCAGTGTCAGAGTCTAGATTTGGCAAAATTCATGTTTGATGATCCAGACCTTTCCAGGGCATTTGCATGCAAGTAACAGTTTAATAGTAAAAAGGAAATGCAGAGACATGGTGCTGGTAGCTCATGCCTATAGTCCTAGCTGAGATATAATAAAGATCACAATTTTGGGGCTGGGAAGTTGGCTCAGTGGTAGAGTGCTTGCCTTGCATGCCTGAGGCCCTGGGTTCAATTCCTCAGCACCACATAAGCAAAAAGGAAAAAGCTGGAAGTGGCGCTGTGGCTCCAGTGGTAGGGCACTAGCCTTGAGCTGAAGAGCTGAGGGACAGTGCCCAGGCCCAGAGTTCAGGCCCCACAACCGGACCCCCCCAAAAAAAATCACAATTTCGAAGCCTGCGCAGGCAGGGAAATCCTTAAGACTTATCTCTAATTACCCCCACAGAAGAACCCCAGGTGGACCTATAGCCAAGTGGTAGAGAGCTATCCTGGTTCAGGACAGCACCCAGGCCCTGAGTTCAAGCCTCAGGACCAGCACACACAAAAAAGAATAGATGTTGAAAAAGAGACTAAATTAGAGGTTGAAAAGCAGTGAAAAGATAGGAAAGTAGGATTTAAGGAAGTAAAGTAATATTAGTATCACAAAATGATTGGGTACAAGACAGAAACGGCACTGTGGAATAATGGTAGAAAATTGTTTGATATGTAAGCTTTTTCTTTTTCTCATTTTTTTGGGGAGGAAGGGGGGGTCAGTCGTAGCGGCTGAACTCTGAGCCTCGGTGCCGCCCCTCAGCTCTGCATGCAAGGCAAGCACTCTACCACTGAGCCACCTTCCAGCCCCTTTATGTAAGCTTTTAAAATACCAGTCTGACCAGTCTGGTTGTGTTTTTTTTTTTATTGTGAAAATACTGTACAGAGGGGTTGCAATTACATGGACAAGATAATGAGTACATTTCTTATCAAGCATTGTAGCCTCCTCCTTTATTTCCCCTTCCCATCCCATCCTCCTCCACTCTCCCCCCAGCCCTCCCCCCCACCAAAGTTGTAACTATATTTCTTTATAAGAAAAGAAACATTATGTACTTTATAGGGCTATTATTGAGGTGTAACCAATAAAGCCTTCATCATAGGCCTTGAAGTATTATAAGCATCCAAATATTGTTGCCAACATCAGCTTACTTTATTGTTTCTACTAATATACATTAGTATATTAAGTTGTAGCATAGATTTTTTCAATTAGAATTCTGTACAGTTAAGTTCATGAATTGCACAGAATTCTACTCATAGTTCTTTAAATATATCAGCAGTTTATTAAGATTTTATAATAAAATTAGTTAAAAGTTTGTCTTCTTCCGAAAGAAACTTGAATAATTTATAAAGAGCTTCACCTATCTCTTAGGGAAGCATGAACCTCCAGCTGGTATTGCTTGAAATCTCTGTCCAGAAACAGTATTTTCAATTAGCTCTTAACTACCTTTTTTTTTTTTAACCTCTGATACATTAGGAATTAAAGAATGCTGAAATAGCTTTAAGAACACAGAAAACACCACCTGGACTTCAACATGAAAATACAGCTCCTGCTGAGTAAGTTACTAGATTTTTCAAAACAAATGTTTCTAATTATAAGAAAGCATAATGGGCTAAGGCTCAGACGATTGAGCATCTGCCTAGCAAGCACAGGTACCTGAGTTCAGACCCCTGTACTACAAGATTTTTAAAAGAGAGAAAGCAGAACAATAGTAATATACAAGCTACATATTTCTAGTTTACTTTGTGGACAGGCTGTATTAATATGAATTTTACATGGCCTTTTAAATTTATTTCTTCTAAGAACCCTAAGGCAGTAGGTTGTTATTCCCATTTTACTGAAGGATAAGGAAGGCTGAGATCTGAACTTTGAATCATTTTGATAGCTGGTATGTACTTGATGCTTACCAATTGTGGAACAGTTTACTCGGTACTGTCCATGCCGACCTCCAGTTACTGTATTCACAAAACCTCCACAGCTGTTACTGCAGGGTGGTGGTAAGAATACAGAGGCATACAGGAGGTGAGTGGTTAGTTTGTCTGTTGGATTCCTGGCTGTGTTTTTTTCCTTTTAGCTTTTTATTATGCTACTATATGGGACGTAAAAGTCTCAAGAATAGCACAAAAGTTTCCTGTGTGGATTTCATCTAGGTCCTTTATGTATTCACATTCTTACCATGTTTTGTTTCTTGTTCTCTGTATACATTTTTCCTTCAAAACAGTTTACAAGTATTTTAGTGTGTTTTTCTTAAAAATTGGGATAATTGCTAATGTCCTAGTATAATTAACCAAAATAAGGAAACCTACAATGGAACTCCTGTTACCTTACTCAGATCAATATGTTATGTGCTTGCACTATACTTCCTCTGACTTGTTCCTCACACTGACAGCAGTGCTACTTTCTCTAAAAGCTTTCAAAGTTGCTTATTTCTTATAGAAAATACTCACATTCCTCTTATTACTATAAGAACTGTAAGTATTTGGTTATAAAATCTGATTATTTTAGACTTACAAAAAATTGTAAAGATAGTATTTCCTTTCATACCTTTCCTTGCTTTCTTTTCCATGGTGTTAATATGTAACTGTAGTTATCACAGGAGGAAATTAACATTGGTACAGTGTTACTGATTAAAACATTGAACTTACTGAAACTTTACAGCTGTTTACACCAGTGTGCTTTTTCAGATCCAGGATCCTGTTGAGGGTTCACATTGCATCTCTGTAATTTCTTCTTAAACTCCTATCTGTAATATTTATTGAGTCCTTCCTTATTTGGGGTGACCTGTTACTTTTAAAGACTATTAAGTTATTTAGTATTATATCCATTAATTTAGATTTGTGTCCCATGTTGAAAATAATGATAGGATGTTAACTTACAGTGTTTCTAAGTTTTTACTTCCGTGATGTGATCTCTAAGTTATTTTATCTTTAAGTAGTTGTACCATTTCACAAATCAGTTTGAGTACAATGCACCTTGATTGATACCACACCTTTCAACAATTTTCCTCAACCCTCCTAAAGCAATCCCTCCCTTCTTCTCTTCATTTGTTTTTCTTTTTCTTTTTTTTTTGGGGGGGGGGTGTCGGTCATGGGGCCTGAACTCGGCCTGGGTGCTGTCCCTCAGCTCTTCAGCTCAAGGCTAGTGCTCTATCACTTGAGCCACAGCGCCACTTCCGACTTTTTTGTTTTTGCTTATGTGGTGCTGAGGAATCGAACCCAGGGCCTCAGGCATGCAAGGCAAGCACTCTACCACTGAGCCACCTTCCCAGCCCTTCATTTGTTTTTCTTCCATAATTTGTGAATTATATATCAAACTTATTTAGGGGGGGAGGGAGAGAAAGCAGTAGAAAAGTGAGGTAGGGGGTAATAAGTTCACAAGGAATGTACTTACTACCTTATGTAACTGTAACCCCTCTGTACATCACCTTGACAATAAAATTTTTTTTCAAAAAAGGATTTAAAGGCCACATTCAAAAGAATGCATGTATTTATTTGGTATTTTGAATATAAAGAGAACATTGTTTTTAAAGTTTTTATCTGACTTTTAAAATGTATTTTTGTAGTTATTTCAGAATCTTGGTTCAGCAATTTGAGGTACAGCTTCAGCAGTATAGACAGCAGATTGAAGAACTAGAAAACCATCTTGCCACACAAGCAAATAATTCACATATAACTCCTCAAGGTAACATGCTTACTATGGAATTGCTTTGTGATAATACTATTTTAATGGTAAGAAAGAGACCAGACTCATTGTATAGAAGGTATATACTAGTGGCTCTCTTAAGCTATTGTAAGAAAATTCCCTTAAAAGTCTTTGATTTCCCTGTAAATACAAAATATTGCACTATGAGTGGTTACTGTTATGAAGAGGGCAAGTCTTAGGCCTGCCCCTTCTCAGATTACTGATACAGATGTCCTTCTCTTAATCTACTTTATCTGTCAGCTTTTCAAGTATGGGAACATAGATGGAGGTTTTTTTTCCTACAAATTAACTATACCAAAAGTAGTAGAAAAATAAAATGGTTATATTTGTTTTACAATAAAATTTTCTTTTATAGATTTATCAATGGCTATGCAGAAAATTTATCAAACATTTGTAGCTTTAGCTGCACAACTTCAGTCTATTCATGAAAATGTTAAGGTAAGCGTTCATTGTCAATACATACATCTGGATGTCGAGATCCAAGTGTTCATTTGGGAATACATATGGTTATGCTTAATACAGAAATAGTTCAAATTACATGTCAGTGAAAAGACTAAGATTTACAGCCTTTGATAAAGGTCCGTTTTTCAAAAAGATCCAAGTGCCCAATATAGTCTGTACATTAGGAATCAGTATTTGTTTTACTCATCCTCTGTTAGATATTCATATTGTTTCCATCTCTTCACCACTATAAATAGCACTGCAGAAAATAAACATTCCTAGCAAAACCTTTTGTACCAAATTAATATGATAGGTATTTTAAATGTATGTTGGCCATAGCATTAAAAATTTGCTTATAACATTTCTTTGTTCTGTTACTGTTACTGGTTTTAGAAGTACTAGTGTTTGAACTCAGGGCCTCATATTTGTTTTTTGGTTTTTTTTTTTTTTGGTCCGGTCGTGGGGCCTGAATTCTGGGCCTGGGCGCTGTCCCTCAGCTCTTCAGCTCAAGTAGCACTCTACCACTTGAGCCACAGCGCCACTTCCAGCTTTTTCTGCTTATGTGGTGCGGAAGCATAGAACCCAGAGCCTCATGCATGCAAGGCAAGCACTCTACCACTGAGCCACCTTCCCAGCCCCTCATATTTGTTTAGCTTACTTGCTTTAGTAGTACTCTATTACTTGAGTCATTCCTTCAACTTCCTTTCTTTGATCTAAATACAGGGAGCACTTAGTACTTATTAAATGTGTAATTTATCCCTTTTTTTTTTTTTTAGTTACTAAGGTTTGAATTTGGGGCTTTGTACTTGCTAGGTGCTTCACTACTTAAGCCATACCTCCAAACCAAAACTATTTTTATCCTCAAGTATTATTGTTAGTTTGAAGTATATTTTTTTACATAATCAAGCAGAAATACACTTTTTCCACATAAGCAAGTATACATTCTTATCCATGGTTCAGGAAATTCTTTAGAATTCAAAGCAGCTAAAAGCAAGTATGAAAAAATTGTATAGAACAATTTTTAATTGAGCTTATCAATATTTTAGAAGTTAACCATTTAAATAGGATCATTTTTAAATGATAGCACATTTTAAGCCTTTTGCTTTTACAAATTTGAAACTTTAAGCCAAAATTTTATGAATTTTTATTAGATTTTCTTGGAAACCTAATCAGTCTGTAATAAACATTGTTTTAATTTGGTAAAGATGAAAATAGATGGGGCTGGGAAGGTGGCTCAGTAGTAGAGCACCTGCCTCGCAGGCCTGAGGCCCTGGGTTCGATTCCTCAGCACCACATAAGCAAAAAGAAAAAAGCCGGAAGTGGCGCTGTGGCTCAAGTGGTAGAGTGCTAGCCTTGAGTGGAAGAGCTGAGGGACAGCGCCCAGGCTCAGAGTTCAGGCCCCACGACTGGACCCAAAAAAAAAAAAAGATGAACATAGATTGTCACTTTAAAGTCTGTCTTAGGTTTGTTTATTTATTTATTTTTTTTTGTCGGTTGTGGGGCTTGAACTTGGGCCTGGACGCTGTCCCTCAGCTCTTCAGCTCAAGGCGAGCGCTCTACCACTTGAGCTACAGTGCCACTTCCGGTTTTCTGGTGGTTTATTGGAGATAGGAGTCTCATGGTGTCTCCTGCCCGGGCTGGCTTTGAACTGCGATCCTCAGATCTCAGCCTCCTGAGTAGCTAGGATTACAGGTGTGAGCCTCCTTGTACAACTAATTGCCAATTTAAAAGAATTCTATATATGTACATACATATAAGGAGCTCCCACCTCACTCAAGCCATGAGGGTCCATATCAGTTTGTTGAAACAGTTCTCTCTCAGAGCAGAATTTCGCTTTCCTGTGGAGTAAAGCGCACCCTAGATGTTAAGTACACACTTGTAGGCTTTCTACTCTGCAGTTGGAAAAACATATGTTATTTGGTAACATGAGATTTTTATAAAACATAATAAACATAACCTGAATTTTTTTGTGGGGGAGAGAGGGGGTTGGTTGTGGGGCTTGAAATGTGGGCCTGAATGCTGTCCCTGAGCTCTTTAGCTAAAGGCTAGTGCTCTACCACTTGAGGCACAGCACCACTTCCGGTTTTCTGGTGGTTAATTGAAGATAAGAGTCTCTCTGACTTTACTTCCTGGGCTGGCTTTGAGCCCTGATCCTCAAATCTTAGCCTTCTGAGTAGCTAGAATTATAGCTATGAGTCACTGGTGCCTGGTAACCTGAATGTTTTATCTCTTCTCTTGGTTTTGTTTTGTGCTGGTCCTGGGCCTAGAACTCAGAGCATGGGCTCTGTCCCTGAGTGTTTCTGCTAGCATTCTTACAGCTCTACTTCTGTCTCTTTTTTTGTGCTTAATTAGAGAGAAGAGTCTCATGAGGTTTCCTGCCCAGGGTAACTTTGAGCCCTGCTCCTCAGATCTTACTATGCATCTGAAGGAGGACTAAAATCTGTGTGATACTTTATATGTGAATGTGCAAAAGTAGAAGATAGATGGGGGAAGCTCAGCAACAATGTTTTCTTCACATTGCACACCTACTTCTGCCTCCTTACTTTCCCAACTTTTAGTTTTTAGAATGTCCAGTTACTCGTTTTGAAGTTTTGGAACATTAAGTACAGACCACTCTATAAAGGGATGATGGTACTCTTAAATATTTTTCATTTTTTTAAATTATTATTTATTTATTTATTTTGTTGGTTGTGGTCCTTGAATTCACAGCCTGAGCTCACAAACTCACACTTTGAGCCACAGCTTCACTTCTGGTTTTCTGGTGGTTAATTGGAGATAAGAATCTTAGGGATTTTCCTGTCCAGGCTGTCTATGAACCTTGGTCCTGAGATCTCAGCCATCTGAGTAGCTAGGAGTAGCTAGGCATGAGCCACCAGTGCCTGGCTTAAATTTTCATTATTAGTGTCACCATTTATTCCCCAGCAAGATTGAAGAAAGTAGTTTGATTTCTCATATAGGGCCAGAGAAATTTGTTGAAGCTGAGACTTTTTTAGTAGTGTTACTTTGTTATGTCTAAAGTATTTGTTGTTTAGTTTTATTATTATTTTTTGCCAGTCCTGGGGCTTGAACTGAGAGCCTAGGTACTGTCCTTGAGCTTCTTTTGCTCAAGGCAAGCACTCTATCACTTGAGCCGCTATGCCACTTCTGTTTTTTTTTCTGTCTATGTGGTACTGAGGAATTGAACCCAGGGCTTCATGCATGCTAGACAAGCACTCTACCACTAAACCACATCTTCAGCCCTATGTCTAAAGTCTTTGATGATTCCCTTACCATGAAAAAAACCCTTTTATATCACATTTACTTTAACAAAAAAATGTTAGGAAGTTGAAACATTTGTTGTTGTTGAGTATAGTTATTAGAGCGAGGAGGGTAAATATACACAAAATACTTTATGTACACATGTAGAATGGAACATAGCAGGTTGGTGAGCCTGGTTGGAGAATAGGGAGGGGAGGAGGAGAATCAAGAAGGATCATATTCATAAATGGACTTTTTGAAATGAAAGCTCCTTGTACACCTAATTGACAATTAAAAAAAAGCCTTAAGCTGGGTACAAGGGGCTCATGCCTGTAATTCTCAGGAGGCTGAGATCTGAATATGAAGGTTCAAAAGAGGAGAGAGTCCATGAGACTCTTATCTTCAATTAGCCATCAAAAAGCCCAGAGTAGAGCTGTGGCTTAAGTGACGGTGGTGCCCTTGAGCACAAAGCTCAGACATAGACCCCAGGCCTTCTGTTCAAGCCCCAGGACCAGGGACAAATGTTTAAAAAAGCTTTATATCATAGGAAAAGCCTGAATGCTAGTTCATTCCAAGATTTCCTCACTATCAATTTGTCCTTTGTTTTAGTTCTGCTGCTCCTTGAACATTGCAGTTTTCCATCTTCTAGAGTCTTCATTATCTTTCTTGACGGTTTTATGGTTTTCATCATAGAAGTCTTACACCTCCTTAATTAAGTTTACTCCTTAAGTATTGGATTTTATTTATTTATTTTTGTCATTTTGGGGGCTTGAACTCTGGGCTTGCATGCTGTCCCTCAGCTCTTCAGCTCAAGGCTAGTGCTCTACCACTTGAGTCACAGCACCACTTCTGGTTTTCTGCTGGGTTATTGGAGATAAGAGTCTCAGGGACTTTCCTGCCTGGGCTGGCTTTCAGCCTCCTTAGTAGCTAGAATTACAGGTGTGAGCCACCGGCGACCAGTTCTTTCTTCAGTCGATTGTTATTGTATAGAAGGCCACTAATTTTTTTTTATGCTTCCTGCCCAGTTCAAAACTGGGCAGGAAAGTCTGTGAGACTCTTATCTCCAATAAAGCATTCAGAAAACTGGAAGTGCCGCCGTGGCTTAAGTGGTAGAGCGCTATCCTTGAGTTGAAGAGCTGAGGGACAGTGCCCAGGCCCAGAGTTCAAGCCCCACAACCAACAACAAAAAAGAATCTAGGGACTTTTCTGCCCCAGCTGGCTTTGAACTGTGATCCTCAGATCTCAGCCACCTGAGTAGCTAGGATTACAGGCGTGAGCCACTGCCACCCAGCTAGGATTTTTTGTTGTTATTGCTTTTTTAATCAGATATAACAGTCTAGGGTGACAGTTACTTTCTTTCATGCTTTGGAATACATAATTTCATGCCATTCTGACTTTCAGAGTTACTTCTTTTTTATGGGTATGTTATGTATGCTGGTACTGGGGCTTGAAGTCAGGGCCTCATGCTCACACTTGGGTTTTTTGCTCAAAGCTTGCATTCTTTTATACTTGAGCCACACTTCCACCAAACTTTTTTCCTGCCCAGACTGGCTTTGAATCAGCATCCTCAAACCTTGGCTTCCTGAGTAGCTAGGATTACAGGTGTGAGCCTCCTTGTACAACTAATTGCCAATTTAAAAGAATTCTATATATGTACATACATATATACATATATCTGTATATAATATATATGTATATATAGCATATTCTTCATATTTTGAGTATACTGTGTCTTACAGAAGTTCTTTCCTATTTGTCTATTTGGTATCCTAAAAGCCTTCTGTATTTGGATGACTATCTCTTAAGATTTGGGAAATTTTCTGTTACTTTATTGAATATATTTTCTATGCCTTTAGCTTGTACTTCTTTTTTTCCTATGCTTATGAGTTATAAGTTTGATCTTTTAGTTATGTCTCAGTGTCTTTCATGTTGTACTCATACTTTATTATTTTTCTTTATGTTTATCTGAATGTTCTAAATCATCTATCTTATTTTCAAGCCCTGATATTTATGTTCAGTTTTATTTAGTGTATTAGCTAGCTTTTCAACCTAATTTTCAAGTTACTCGGTTTTTCATTTCCAGAGTTTTAAATTTCATTTTTCACATATTCTATATCTTTATCGAATTCATCTTTATTGTCTTGCATTGCCCTGGTATTTCTTTTCCCTTGCTTGGAATTCATTCAGGTGTTTTGTTTTTTTTTATGTCTACTTTATTTTATTTTTTATTTTTTGAGTCCAGTCATGGGGCCTGAACTCTGGGCCTAGGCGCTGTCCCTCAGCTCTTCAGCTCAAGGCTAGCGCTCTACCACTTGAGCCATAGCACACTTCCGGCTTTTTATTTTTTTGCTTATCTGGTGTTGAGGAATGGAACCCAGGGCCTCATGCATGCAAGGCAAGTGCTCTACCACTGAGCCACCTTCCCAGCCCTATGTTTACTTTAATTACATTGAACATTCTTAATATTCTTTCTTGAGTTCATTGTCTTAAAATTATATCTAGGTCAGTATAATCAGGCAAAATCTTAACATGTACAATAACTAATGCGAAATTAGTTCATTAGTGCTGAAAGGGTGAGTCCAGTAGTAACTCTGGGTGCATTCTGCCACTTCTTAGCTTCTGTTCACCTAATTAGATAATTTCTGTTATCATCTATGTTACATTGGATAACTTGGTCATTTTTCTGCCCTTAGTTATGCTAGCTCAACCATCTTCATTGAATAATAATGAAACAGTACTATAAAGAGTGGGCTTTTATTATGCCCTCCACCTTCCCTCTGTGTACTTTAGCATGTCACCTAGCTTTTTATAGAAAACATTTAACAAGTCTATATTTAATGCTGGCTTTCGGTCTAAAAGTTATGAAAAGGTATGTATTTGAGAGAAAATTTCATGAAATTAATACTTAATACTACTCTGCTTATCTAAAAGTTTAGCTAATTTGTGGTAAATAACCCAGTATATGTGAGGTGGCATTTTGTAAGATAAATATGACAAAAATAGGGAGCCCTGGTGCTACTCTCACACTCAAGACTTCTTGAATCAATATATATTACTTGCCCTCTAATTTACAATTCACTACCATATAAATAATAGAGGTACTATATTTGGGAACTTATCTCTGCTTGGTGCATTTACTTGTTACCATCAAAAAAAACCTAAGGTTTTTTTTTCCCTACTTCTTTAGGTGCTCAAGGAACAGTACCTTGGCTACCGGAAAATGTTCTTGGGAGATGCTGTAGATGTTTTTGAAGCCAGGCGAACAGAAGCTAAGAAGTGGCAGAATGCACCCAGAGTTACTACTGGACCCACCCCTTTCAGCACCATGCCAAATGCAGCAGCCGTTGCCATGGCTGCAACACTTACACAGCAGCAACAGCCTGCTACAGGTCTGAATGCATTCAAGTTATAGCTTCTTACTGTTCAAATGCAGAGCATTTATGTGCAGTTTTATATAAGTCTTCCTTTTGTGTGAGCACTGATAAAATTTCTATAAATAGCTGTTCCAGTACAATCCAAAAATTGTGATAGACACAATTATAAACATACCTGACAAGAAATGCAGGGTAGTTTAGCAATAATTATATATCAGATATTGAATATTGTGACTTTACATGTTTGCTGTATTGCTATCAAAGCCCTATAGAACATGGTGTTTCACTACTGAATTACACTTAAGAATAGTATTAGATTCTAAAATTGTGATTGTATCATTTATTGTTTTATAATCAGAGCTCATCCATTCATATGTTGCATTTTCATGTGTGACACTGGTAGATGGTGCATTTTCATTTTCTCTACATAATGACTGCACCGTGCCCACATTCAGGGTGTTTATCGACTGAAGAGGTATTGAAAAGATCATAATACATTTTATTTGTATGTATTTTGTCTGGAAATAATGGAGACTCTCTAAACCAAATTTTGAAGAAGATATACACTAGAATTATATCTTCTCAAAATGAATGACATAGCAACAGATAGATGTTTTTGTTTTTGTGTGTGTGTGTGTTGGTCCTGGGTTTGAACTCAGGGCCTGGGCACTATGCCTTAGTTTTTATTTTTTTTGTTTGTTTGTTTGTTTTGTTTTTTAACTCAAGCTAGCATTTTAATTCTTGAGCCACCATTCCATTTCTGGCTTTTTGGGGGGATTAATTGGAGATAAAATTCTGAAGGACTTTCTTACCTGGGCTGGCTTTGAATTTCAGTCCTCAGATCTTAGCCTCCTGAGTAGCTGGGATTATAGGCATCAGCCACGGATGCCCAGCTGGGAAGATGTTTGAGAAGTGGTTTGCACATGAAATAGCATCTGGGAAATTGGGCCGATAATTAGTGAAAGCAGATCCTTTCTGTCCCAGTTTAATTCCACTTGTAGAAATATTCTTCATGGTGTAGTTTTACAGTATTTCATTTTATCTATTGTCCTATTTATCAGGCTTGAAGTTGGTCATAGGAAAATGTAGTTTTAGTGGATATGGATTTTTTTGTCCTTGCATCATTTATAAATTTTTGAGTGGGCTTATTTATTCCATAGCATGTGTCTTCTAAGTAGTTCATATAATCCAGTAGTAAATTATAGTACAAAGGAAGTTTTTAACAATATGTACTTAAATTGCATTCAGGCTGCCTGTACTAGAGAAACATCTCTGGTTGCTGTTGGCAGTTTAACGAAATCCTTCATGTTTGGAGATATCATTGCTTTGCCATCAGTGAAGGACTGATGATAGATTTATGCCAAATCCACTATATTCCGTGGCTGGACCATGTGAATAGTAGGTAGCATAGGCACTATCTAGATGCTCTGTAGCTGGCTGGAATGTAGGGCTCTACTCTCCAGTATGGAGGGAAAAAGCCATTATGAAGTTGATTGCTCCAAAGAATCTATCCAATAATTACTATTATCAGTTCTCATGATTATAATCAAACCAATTTTAGTGCCATTTTACTTTTTTAAAACCAGTATTCACCCTAAAATAGATCAGAAGGCATGGGTTGGAGTATTTATTAAAATTAATTGGTTTCCTTGAATCAATAAATGAAAAAAGTCAGTTACCTGAACTGTTGTGTTCTACATGACCATACTATGGTGAATATCCAAGCATAAAGCAAAATCACTTGTCAGCTTTTTTATTAAAACTTTCTTGTGTAGACTGTTTCATCTTGAGAAATTTTAGGCTTTCACTCATATTTTTGGCTGAAAGATATGGGGGAAAAATATCTATACATATAGTGCTGACTTTGTGCTAAGTTTAGGGGTTACCAAGAGAGATGATACAGGTAGGATCTTTTTTCTGTGTGATGGGTAGAAAACATGTAAACATTTGTTTAGTTTGGAGTAATCATCCCAAAGAATCCTTTAATTAGGTCATATGTTTTAATTTTGGTAGACACTTGCCAAGTGTGTGTGTGTATGTGTGTATATATGTGTGTGTGTATGTGTGTATATATGTGTGTGTGTATGTGTGTACATACTGAGGCTTGAACTCAGGGCTTTGCACTCTCACTTGGTTTTTTCCCCTCATGCTGGAACTCTACTGCTTGAGCCATGCCTCTAGTTTCAGCTTTTTGGAGATAAGAGTCTTGTGGATTTGTCTGCCCAGACTGGGTTAGAACTGAGATCCTTAGATTTCAGCTTTCTGAGTTACTAGGATTATAGGAGTGAGCCACAGCTTGCTAGGCTGTTTACTGCTTTTAGTACGCTTGCAATTTTGGAGTCTACTTAAGTGGCAAGAACTGAAATTAGTCATCTACATAGTCTTTAGCTATGTTTTCAATTTGAGTTGTTGAAGTTTTAGGATTAAGAATTTAAACAATAGTATTAACAATTTTGTATTGTAGCTCTCTTCTCCTTTTTTTCTGCCAGGGTCATTTGGATAGTTATATCAGCATTACAGGCCAGATGATGAGAAACATTACATGTCTATTCTGTCTTGTACCAAATGACTTTGCTAGTCCATTCCCTTTAAGCCTTCCCATTCATAATGTCAGCTGTTAGTCATTAGTAACCTCACTGTGATTATGAGGTTCATTGGCTCTGGTAGGTAATGACTTTGTTAGTTTAACCATTTAGTGATGCCCCTATTTGTTGCATTTTATTATCTGCCCAGGGAATTAATCCCTCATGAATTTAAGTTCCAGTAACAAATTTAAATCATCTAGATGAAGTTAGGTAGAGCTTCTACACTTTTTATACACCATTGGTGAAATGTATGAAATGTAAGTTATTAGAGGAGTTTCAGTTTTATTTGCATGTAGATTTATTTCATTAATGTAAATAGGGATAAATTAACCTTTCTTAGACTTGCCATTTGAAAGTAATTGCTCTGTTGTCTTCGGATAGACTTAAATGACTCAGACCCTTCTTCAGTTTATTAATTTTTTTTTTTTTTGCCCTTAGTGGGGCTGGGGCTTAAACCCAGGACTTGGTATATGCTAAGCACTTGCTCTACCACTGAGCTACCCTCCAACCCCCAATTCTTTCTTAGTGACAAAAATATATGATAGGGGTTAGGCATGTGTGATTTATGGCTGTTTGTTCTGAAGCAAGAATTGATGAAAAACCAGCAGTGAAATGAGCATCATCTATCTGTGGATAAGTTGCATGTTAGTGGATCTTGAGTGCACTTGTCTGCAAGTGTCTCTCAAGCTTCCTAAAATGCTTAGACTTTCACATTAGGCTTTTTCGTATGATCTTAATTTAGGGTAGGTTTTTTTGTTTCATTTTGTTTTTCAAGCTGGGATTGGATTTTGCTGTAGTGTTTGACACTTCAAAGTTCTTGATGTTTACATAATAAGATTTTTCTCATGAGACTTAGCTGCTGTTTTTACAGCAAGCTGAGACATTTGTGAGGAATTTTGCTTTCTAGCTTTTAGTGAAGGTTTGGACGTTTAAGGTATAGTATTAAATAGGAACCTTTTTAACATTTTAGTTTCTCATGGTTTTGTGATTTTGTTGTATTTAACAACCAAAGGAATATTCCCCCTTAAGTCAGTAAGAATAAAAAATTTCAAATTGGGAAAAAGGCATTTTTGGTACTTGGGGAAAAATTATTTTAAAAGATCACATAGGAACTAACAGCACTAATAAAATTAGGCAATTTTGCTGATTGTGGAAATTTTTTAAAAAGAAAAATTAGCACTTTAATCCTTTATCTGTAATGGCAGTTTTACACTTAAGAAAGTAGAATATGTTCTGGCAAATATGAAGTACAGTGCTAAACTTGATTTTGTTGTATGTGACTATATCATATAGCAACTTTTGTAAAATGTTACTCTGTGAAGATTCACTTTAAGCAATCATTGGAATATATTACTATTAATTTGATTTTATGTGTGGAACTAAGAGCCTCTCATTAAGTGAGTATTCAAATCCCAAGCAGACTTGAATTGTTTACGTAACTTTTGCCTAAGGTATTTAAGATTCTGCTTTCTAATAGTGAAACTAATATACATATATATATGGTGACCAGAGTATAATATATGCTAATACTTTGGTGTGGGAGATATTTACCATGAGTTTTTACTATTTAAAAATGTTATACATTTGCCTACTAGTTTTATAAATGATCTTGCCTTCAGAATTTGTGTGAAGGTACAAAGCTCAGAATATCATGTATCTCTTGTGCAATGAAAAGTCTTGTCATTATTAGATATGAGTCTTGAGATCTTGAATATAATGATTAGAGACACTGTTCTGTTGCTCTTCAAGTCAGACCCATCCACAACAAAAAACATGCTATTTGGGTGACTTATGACCTGTAAAGCTGAGGGCTGTGGTGTACATTATTCTTTAGGGTCTTCCACCAGCAGTGCCTCCTGTTAACACGTGATACTAAAGTCTTTCAATGTAAAAGAAACTGGACGTGTGTTTTCTACATATTATTTTTGTTAGAAATAAGAAAATGATATGCTTAGTTTCTTTTTCCTATAGTAACATTTTACAAAACAGCTGCTAGGCAGGTATTTATTCTCAAATTAATCTGAAACTGGATGTAAAATTTAAATTCTTTTTTTAATTTATTTTTTTAGGAGTAGTATTAAAAACTCTGGCTGCTATTAGTTGTTTTTATTTTCTGGATAAAAGCTATTTGAAAAGTCCAGTTTTTGTTCCAGAGTAGCAAATTGTAGTTCCTCCTCTTTTGTTGTTTTTTTCTTAATTCTTTATAATTTTACACTACCTTTTGAATATACAAACCTCATTCTTCATTGGACAACTTGAAGGCTTCAATTTCTTTTAAAATTTAAATGTTGATATGTGTATTACTTTGGCATTCCCTAAACTTTGAGATGCACTGATCACTGTGCTTGAAAAAGACAAGACTGAAGATTGTACTATTAAATTTATTGAGTAATTTTCATAAATTATTTATCAACTGAGAGATTTTTAGATTTTTGTATTCTGCTTAGTTAAAAAAAAATAGTTACAAAGAGGGGCTAGTAAGTTTGATGCTATTCTTGACAAACAAACTCAGCCAAAAATCTTTAAAGTAGCATATGGGAAAAGGATGACAAGTGGCTCTGTATCTGAGTACATTTTCCAGAATGTTGGAAAGGAGCTTCTGAAATGAAGTTGTGAATGTATTTGATATGTCAAGGTGCGCAGTGGTGCCTTTTGTAAATGTTCATTATCTATCATTTAATCAGGTGATAAGTGGTGTGTTGTAGCAGAATATAAGAATAGATCTCAATCATCACTTTTTGTGAACAAGTTGGAATTGTCATGTTACTGTGTAATTGGTTTGCTTTAAAATGAACAATAAATTTAATAAAATTAAACATTGTCTTGTTTTTTTATCTATTTATTATCTATACCTATATATAATATAGGAATATTATGCCTAGTTTATTAGGTACTTTTATGTAGTAACATAGTTTTGCCATGTTTGTGTCAATTTCTGGATCAATTAATTGATATTTGACTCTAGCACTAGGAGCTTGTTTTAAAAAATAAAATGTAATTACCAGCTAGTTTATCAGAAGACAAATTGGGAGATCATAAAATAATTGTAGATCTATATCTAAAATAATTACAATTTCTGCTATATTAAAGACTTCAGGTTATATAGTCAATTAAACTAATATTTTTCATTGTAGTAAGCCTCTTGTAATTGGATTCTTCTAGGCAGTTTTGTTTAAAAACTTTTGAGGAGGTAGATAAATTACTTGGGGCTGGTAAGTTAGATCAGAAAGACATCTTGAAAACAAAAGTTTTAAAATAGAATTTGTTAAAAGTAATCTCTGTTCTAGTTTTAAAATAATTTGGTAAAGAAACTTTAATCTTGAAAGAGTAAGGCAAATTTGTTTCCCCCCCATTTTTTTTTCTTTTTCTTTTTCTTTCTTTTTTTTTTTTTTTTTTTTACACCAGGGCCACAGCCATCTCTGGGAGTTAGTTTTGGAACGCCATTCGGCTCAGGTATTGGTACTGGCTTGCAATCAAGTGGCTTAGGTTCTTCAAACCTCGGAGGTACACTTTAACTTTTCTAATGTTTCATTGAACTATTATACATTTGAATTGATAACCTGCTTTAAAAAAAAATCTAAGAGAGTCTGCTGCTATTTTGGATGTTAAAGTTCCATCTAGCAAAAATGATTCTCTAAACATAATCATTGCTTTCTAGTGTTAGAGTTAGAACTTAAATCACTCCAATCTTCTGTGATTACTAAATCAAAAATGCATTTAAACTATCAGTGGTAGGGAGTTTCTGTTCTCTAATCAGCATACTGAAATGAACTGGAGAATTCCTTACTTTTAATTGAATTTTTAAAATTTAGTAGTCTTAATATTTCTGGATGATTTACATTGTCTCCTGCATCCCTCAAAATGACACTAAATGGGGAATTAATTTTGTTATGAAGTAAATAGCTTGACTTATGTCCATTTTTAAGTACTTTAGGCAGATCTGACTGTATACATACTTAGAGGCATGAGTAGTTGAACTTACTTTAATAATGTCATAAATTAGTAAGGTAAGTTTTCAACAAAGACTCATGCTAAGTAAAAATGCACTCACAACTCTTTGATACAGATAATCTAGCATTAATTATATTTGACAATCACACTGTAGTCTGATGACTAAGGCTTATTTCCATTAAAATAGGAGAGGCCCCCAAACTATCAAGATAATTCAATATAGACTCTGTCCTATAACTAGAATTATGGCAGGCAATCCAGTTCCCATAATCTATTATGTAACCCAGTTTGCCATTTTAAGAGTTAAAGGCACTGATAACTGTTCATCTCAATCACAGCATAACCTAAAAAGAATTTGAATGTGTTCATATAGAACACATGTGGAATTAGTCTTCAAGTACCTAGGATCTGTGAGTGAACAGATTTATTTAAAAATATTTAAATTGTAATAAAATAAGTAAAAACCTGCCCCTTTTCATGTTTGCCACTGTTAACTAGGATAGTGGTGTGCTCAGAAGCCATTGCTATGGAATTGACTTGCAGTGACTAGCTTTTGTGTAGTTAGGCAGTTTCTCAATGGTTAAGATTATTAATCAAAAATGTTTTGGCAAAGAGTAGAATAAAATTATCCTGTGGTAACTGATATTTACAATGTGCATGTCATGCTTATTTATGAATTTAGTCAGTCTTTGTTTTTCAGAATAAATAGCCCTCAAGTAAATATATTTGTAACTTTATCCAAAACCTTCTTTGGATAGTCAATGAAATTTCTAGCACTTTTGCAAGAAATATATCAAAAGTTTTAATACTTTTAAGGATTAAGGAGATTTCCTTGATAAATCCAGTGTTCTCAACACTGTATATATTAGACTTTGGTAATTTTGGATTGACTTGTAAGTGTCCTTTAACCTGTGTTTTATGTACCATTGTATATTTTTCTATTACCCTTCCACCAGGATTTGGAACTAGCTCTGGTTTTGGATGCAGCACCACAGGGGCCTCCACATTTGGATTTGGAGCAACAAATAAACCCTCAGGAAGTCTTAGTGCAGGTTTGTGTGCTCCTGCCTGAGTCCAGGCAGATCTAAAGATGCAAATCATTGAAAATGCGTGTTGTGATTTCCAATAACCCTGAAAGAAGCATGCAAGCCTAAGTGATTATATAGCTTTCTCTCTTGTAGAAATTAAAGGGCAGGTGTGTAATCTTTGTAATAAGACTTCTAAGTTTTACTTACTAAATAACACCTCTTAACTAAATGGAAATTCGTTTGATTTCTAGAAAATAACTCATGGTCAGTTTTCTCATTGTTGTGAAAATGAACTTATCATTGTGAAACTTCAGTTCAGCCTTTTTAGTTGTTGTTATTATATATCCAGAAAAAACATATTTAATCCAAAGAAATTTTCTTTGGCTAAAAATCCCTCTTGATTTTAAAAAAACAACAACCTTACAAATGAGCATTCCTTTGGTTCTATATTTCATTTTTGAAATGCATATAATCTGTTGGCTCTTTTAGTAAAAAATTTCCAAATTTTGGTCTGTTTTTCATTTACCCTATACTCAAATAATGACTTGTTTTAACGTGTAATGCATAGGGTTCAATGCATGTTGAAAAGAAAGGCAAAACACTGTTAAAGGTGTGTTTAAAATTAGAGAATTTGAAGGAAATTCCATTTACTATTAGCTTAAAATCAGTACTTCCAAGGAGTATTATACAGAATTTAGTGATTTCATGATTATAAGCTAAATATTGTGTTAGTTTCTGGGGCAGCTGTAGGACTTGGTCTTAATTATGTACAAGTTCTTATAATCACAGCAATAACTACTGACTGATTTTTGCTGTACTCATTGTCTTGAGCACTGTGAGCCAAAACCTCCCTGGAGGGCTTGGGGTACAAGGGTGGGTCTCTCTTCTGCTTGATGCTAAAATACTCTCAGTGGGCTGAGGAGGAAGACACCTTGACGTAGCAAAGATTCTGGCACCCTGAGCTTTCCTGTAGATTGCAGTTATTGGTGATATGGTTTTTCTAGGCTTGCATCACTAAACTTCTGTCTCAAGGTGCCACTCAGTTGTTCACTAAATTATTTCCCTGTAAAATTCCTTGTATTCTGACGTGGAATCTAGAGGCCTAGGATATTTGTTATTCTTAGAAACTGTATATTTTTTCAGGTAGAAGAAATTTATTGCTCATTCCCACTTTTCATATTTGTTTTTTTGTTTGGTTTGTGATTTAACTTCTGATATGAATATTTTCTTCCCCAAACATAAGGCTTTGGCAGTTCAAGTACATCTGGGTTTAACTTCAGCAATCCTGGCATCACGGCATCAGCTGGTTTGACATTTGGGGTGTCCAATCCTGCCTCTGCAGGTTTTGGAACAGGAGGACAACTCCTTCAGTTGAAGAAACCTCCAGCTGGAAACAAAAGAGGAAAAAGATAAACACGGGTTGATATGCTGAGAGAATCCTTAGCAGGGTTGTTCATTCTATGAATCTATTTTTCTAATGATGCAATAATTGGATTGCATCCCAGATTTATAAAGTTTTGATATTTTTCCCTCTCTGGAATTGGAACTTACTTTGTTTGTCACACTGAACATCATCTTTCTTGTAAATCTTAAATACAGTTGTATTTTTTTCATTGTTTTTATTCTCCATGTAAGAAATGTTCTGATTACATTACTGATTGATAGTGGTAAAAGAGCCATTAACCTAAAATCTATAATTTAACCTAGTGTTAATAGTGGTGTTTGTTGATAAGGTTTATATTATGTGTATATATGCACATTGATTTCTTATACAGACGGTATGAACTCTAGGGCCTATACTAGAATTAGTTTGTTCCTTGAAAAGGCCTTTTTGAACTACACTGCAGGGCATCTTGTGAATATGTAAGTAATTATATACAGAGTAGTGCACACAATTGTGTGTGCATATAAAAATATAATTACACACAACTTTTGCCTCCGACTGTTCCCCTTTTCTAAGATTATTCAAGTTTTCACTTTTAAAGCTTCAAATCCTCAATGCTTGTAGAATGGATCACTTAGAGTTACTCTGTCGATTCAGTTTTTTGCAAGACTTTTTCACGCTTATTGCCATATATATATAACCGACTCAACTTCACTGCCCTAAGTTTTCTCCATTTTTGTCTCAACATTAGCCTTTAGCAGCTACTCCAAATGAAGAATGCTGTAAGACTCATCCACCAGATTTCAGCAAACTTTTATTACCCTGTATGTCCTCATGTTACTGCTAGGAGATCTTGTTTCCTTCTCTTGAGATGGACTTTTCAGAAGCGTGTTTGAACTCCAGACTGGTGTTCTGGTTCAAAGAGCTATCAAGCCAAATTGAATCTATGCAGGTGAAGGATGCACTGTTAGTTACTTCAGCGAGAACTTCTCTAGCTGTTCTAATACAGAGTTCCTTCTTAGAGGGCTATTGCTGTTGACACCAAATAGAATGGCTTCTCAGCCTTGTGATGTCTTAAGTGAATACCTAATTTGGAACAGAGAAAGTATTTTAAGAAAGAAAATTATTCTTTTTAACAAACTCTTCCCCAGTTACAATGAACAGAGCTCCAGATAGCACATAGCTTGTCAGGTTGCATCTGTATAATATTTGTCTATGTTATTAGTAGTGGTGTTGAGTGCATGAGAACCCTTGGAAATGAGAGCCCTTGGAAAGAGAACTGCCTTAGTCGTGATTCCAGAGAGAAACCATTAGATAAACCTGTTTATCTTAAAGTACAGTTTTCAGATAGGCTATAGACACAGAAGTCCAATGGAAATACTTTAATTTCTTACATGGAAGGTTTGTACATACTGTGCATCAGTGAATATTTTCAGAATTGTTTTCCCCAAGATACCTTTGTTTTTCTAAAATAGGTATGGTGTATATAAGTATGCACACACATATATATTTTTAGTATAATGTTAGTTGGGTTTGATTATAAAAGTGGTGTCTTTTATTTCTCTGCTTTTAACAATGATTAATTAAGTTGATTTTTTTTGCATCTTTATGCATTAAGATTAGGAAAATTATTTGTCTCTGAGCACTCAACTTGTTTTTATTGTTGTGTATCTCTAATATTGCAGTCCCCAAATCCAGATCAGGGGGGAGGTTAGGAACGAGCTGTGATCTTTGCATTTTCAATTACTGTCAGTTACGTACACAGTTAAACGTTTTTTTTTAAGGATATTGCATTGTGTTACAAAAATATGAATATTTATATTTCTTGATGTTTTTTGTTTATATACTTTGCATTTTCATATGTTGAACCACTGGAAATCTGTAACAGATTAATTTGTGATAGGAGTCTGAGTGTGTTGTTAACTGTCTTGTCTTCACTTTGTCCAGCGCCTATTATGGAAACAATAAAATCTATTGTGTCAGTTGCTTTGAATTATTATAGGTGTCAGTAGTTGTTCTTACTATGTAATTTTATAATTGCTTTTTATTTGGTTGGTTTTAGTTTTCTAACACTATAGTGACTCATATATCTTGCTTGCTGTTTGTTTGTTTTTTTCTGGCCAAAGACTGAATACAGGACAGTAAGTTCTTTGTCACCTGATTTTTGTCTTCTCAAAATGGTAAACACACTAACATTGAGTATTGTGTGAAAAGGAAAAGACTCCTTCTAGTAGACTCAGGTGAGCTCTCCCCAGACTATCCATGTCCACTTCAGGGCTTGGATGGATCTCTGCAGACCTTTCCAAAGTGTTCTTTCCATTATATGTGTGCACATGCCTGTTCTTGTTCCTTTTTTTCTTTGCTGTCCATCATTTTTTCCTCTTATTCTCTCAGCTCCTTTTTCCTTAACAAGTAATTTTTTAAAAAAAAAAAGTCATTCTGTGGTTTGTATATTTTCCCGTCAGTGGCATATATCATCAGTCTCCTTATGTGTCAGTGCACATAGATTTACATCTGTATCACAAGGATAAATAGAAGATGTCTAATGGTCAACTGTTCCCTGTTGGTAGCAGTTAGACTCATTCTTTTTATTTTTTAAAATAATTATCTTTAGTTGTACAAAGGGGGTTTAGTTGAACAGTTTGTGAATGCAGTGCATCTTGATTAGTGTCAAAATCTTACCCATCCTCTCGGTTTAGCTGGCTCCATTGTTACATATGTACATTGAATAGTATGTCTGTATTTGTCCACTTTTCCTCTCTCATCATCTGTCCCCTCCCATTGACTTTACCCCCTAACCAACACATTTTCTAGCTGCTTGGTATTTATTTTGTCAGCTGTTGGTTGTGTTTAATGTTTTTTTTTAGATTGATTCTGGAAGAATTGTTAAAAGGGTATAAAAGGTCCATATTTAGTGTAAGATTGTTTCTCTAAAATGTGATACCAGTGTGTGAATACCCATATCCTAGCATTCTCTGTAATCCTGGTATTATCGATCTGAATATTTGTGAGGTTGAACTTATAAGTATTTATACATATATATTGTCAGTGTACATATTCATTCATTACATTTTACTGGCTTTGTCTATTTTATTCTAAGTTATTTAAGGTTTTCCTTAATGATATTTGGAGTTTTGTTAGTTGATTTTTTTTTTTTCCTGATGAGGTATTAAGTCACCTGGGTTCAGAACCTTGCCCTGCCGCTATATGATTTGGGGCGGGTTATTTAGCCTTTTAAGGTTTTAGTTTGATTGTCTAAAAATGAACTTTTCACTGGGCGCTGGTTACACACACCTGTAATCCTAGCTACTCAGGAGGCTGAGATCTGAGGATCTCAGTTCAAAGCCAGCCCAAGTAGGAAAGTCTGTGAGACTTTCTCTCCAGTTAATCACCAGAAAACTGGAAATGGGGCTGTGGCTCAAGTGGTAGAGCACTTACCTTGAGCTGAAGAGCTTAGGGACAGCGCCCAGGCCCAGAGTTCAAGTCCTCCCTCCAATGCCCCCCCCAAAAAATGATCTTATAGTGGACGTGTTATGCTAGTAACTTTAGGTAGGCCTTTGACCACTTGGGCAATGTCTCCCAGCCCACTTTAAAGCACATGGGTAGTAAAAATCCTGATACTTTAGAAGCATCAATTATTCATGTACATACAGCTCCACTGTTGTAAATAACAGCTATATTTACCAAGTTTTGTTTTTTGTGTTGATGCTGGCATTTGAAAGCAGGGCCTTGTGCTCTTGTTTGATTTTTTCATTCAAGGCTGAGGCACACCTCCACTCTCCAGTTCTGGCTTTTTGGTAGATAATTTAAGCTATAAGAGCCTCGCAGACTTCCTGCCTAGGCTGGCTTTACACTTCTTAGATCTCAGCCTCCTGAGTAGCTAGGGTTGCAAGTGTGAGCCAAGTATGGGGGGGGGGAGGCTAATCCTACGCTTTCCATATATTAATGCATTTAATCCTTAGTGTGGGTACTATTGCAGATGAACTGGGAGCAGAGATATTAAATAACTTGTAGTCGTCACTTTTTTTTTTTTTTTGTCAGTCATGAGGCTTGAACTCTGGGCTTGGGTGCTATCCCTGTGCTCTTCAGCTCAAGGTGAGCGCTCTACCATTTGAGCCACAGTGCCACTTCCAGTTTTCTAGTGGTTTATTGGAGATAAGAGTCTCACAGACTTTCCTGCCCAGACTGGCTTTGAACCATGATCCTTAGATCTCAGCTTCCTGAATAGGGTTACAGGTATGAGCCACGGGTGCCCGACTTTAGTAGTCACTCTTAAGTGGATGGGCCAAAGTTCAAGTGGAGGCAGGCTAGGTAGTCCTGTAATTCTTAATATCCACAAATTGCGTTTAAAAAAATAGATAATGATAAGCAGAAAATTGTAAGAGGAGATATCAATTCAGAAATAAAAAAAATAGTAATAGGTGACTTATGCATATGATTGTCTAAAATAATTTTTGGCACATATCACTTGTATATTGGGGGGAGGATTATTGTGACATTTGCGTATACTCCTATCATTCTCCCAACGATTTCAATGTATTTCATTGTTCTCTTTTCATATGTGCAAAGTACTTAAACTATATCCATCCCCATTCACACTCTCAATTGACTCTCCCCTCAACAGGGTCCTTCAATTTCTTGTGTGAAGATGATTTTGTATGTGTGTGCACACAGGTGGTCCTGGGGCTTAAACATAGGGCTTGTGCACTGTTACTAAGCTCTTTGGCTCATTACTAAGCACTTAACATTTGAGCCACAGCTCAACTTCTTGGTTTTTGGTGGTTAATTGGAGATAAGAGTCAGACTTTCCTGCCTGAGCTGATTTCCAACTGCCATCCTCAAGTCTTCTGAGTAAGGGTTACTGGTGTGAGCCACTGGCCCCCAGCCCTTATATGTTCTTAAGGATTGAGAAAGCTGTTGCCAGTGAACAGTAGACATTGATTTTCCATTTCCTTTGCAGTTTTCTTGTAAAGTTGATTCAAGAATACCAGCTCATCCTAATTGACTGTACAGTTCTGTGCATACCACTTTGCTTTTTCTTTTCTTTCCTTTTTTTCTTTGGGGTGGGGGGTATCAGTTGTGGGGCTTGAACTCTGTACCTAGGCACTGTCTCTGAACTCTTCAGCTCAAGGTGAGCACTCTATCACTTGAGCCACCACGCCACTTCCTGTTTTCTGGTGTTTAATTGGAGGTAAGGGTCTCACAGACTTTCCTGCCTGAGCTGGTTTTGAACCATGACCCTCAGATCTCAGCCTCCTTGAGTAGCTGGGGTTACAGGCATGAGCCACCAGCACCCAGCTCTTTTTCTTTCTCTCTCTTCCTCTTCTCCTCCCCCTTTCTCTGTCTGTCTGTCTCTCTCTCTCTCTATATATATATATCTATATATAGTTTATTTTTCATTTTTTGCTAGTCCTGGGACTTGAATTCAGTGCCTGGGTACTGTCCCTGAGCTTTTTTGTTTGAGACTAGCATCCTACCACTGGAGTCACAGCTCCACTTCTGGCTCTTATGTGGTTAATTGGAGGTAAGAATCTCACCAGTTCTCCTGCCTGGGCTGGCTTTGAACTGCAGTCCTCAGATCTTAGCCCCCTACTTGGCTAGGATAATAGGCATGAGCCACCAGTGCCCACCTCTGTGGGCATCACTTTGAAAACAAATAATACTACCGTTTTTTCACTGGACTTTCTAGGGTAAGCCGTGGCTAGATGTAATGATTTCATCTTAACTTTTAAAATGACCTATTGAAAAGTTTTGTTAAAACTGTCACTTAGACTCAAGTTCAGGTTTGCTTGTACACATGGTGGGTCTGTAATCTGGCACATAGGAGATAGAGGAAGGAGAATCTCGAGTTCTAGGCCAGTCCTGGCTTGGAGACCATGTTTCAAAAACTAAAGATGAAAAAAAATGATTTGGATATTATGCTAGATTTATATTTTTCCCAACATTGTTATGTGTATATACACATTTAAATTACATAATTGAAAATTGTCCCTATTTTATAATATATAGATGTATTTTGATACAATTTTTGTCCCCAAATTGATAGTCTAGTAAATTTATTAATCTTTTGAAAGTAGGCTATATTTCCCTTTTTAAATTCAGAGTTAATTTAAAGGCAAGGGTAAAGTTAATATTTAAAAGGCTGCTATTTTTTGTTTGGCTTATGTTCATTATACAGAAGGAGATATCATTGTTACAGCTCCACATGTTTACATTTGTATCCTCAACCTCAACAGGTTTCACTTAAGGCTAGTTCTGTACCACTTGATAACCACTTGAACAAATACTCTATTTTGACAGTGTTCCACCTCCATTCTTGCCCAGCCCAATCCTCTTCTGCTGGCACCCACCCCCACCGACAACTATTACTCTTTTCCACCTCCATAGAGACATAAAGACTTAACTGTTGCTATAAGGTTTGCCAGAAAGGCAGCTATTTCCTCCCTCTCCATTTTGAAAAGACTAGTCTCTCCACATTTTTGCTCCTACTGCCAGAGATAAAAGTAGTTTGAAAAAGCCCAGGGTTAATAGTTTAATCCATCTGCCAAATAATTCACTTCTACCGTCCAATTTTGTTAGTCTTGTCTTTGTTGCTTGAGGTCGTCTTGTGAAATTTTTAATGATGCTAATGCTTTGAATGTTAAATTTTAATTTCTTTTTCATTTTTAGAAGTTTTTGTTTTTGACCCAGTACTGGGGCTTGAACTCAGGGCCTAGGTACTATCCCTTAGCCTTTTTTCTCAAGGCTGGTGTTACACCATTTCTGGCTTTTTGCTATTTAGTTGAAGAGTCTCAATTTGTCCAAGTTGGCTTTGTACTATAATCCTCAGATCTCCGACATGTTGTGTGTGAGCCACCAGCCCTCAGCTAGAAGTTCTAATTGGTCCTTTCAAAAGTTCCTGCCCACTTTTTGTTTATCACACTGTTTATCTTTAAGCCCATTTGACACTTATTTGTCATTGCTAATTCCAATATTCAAAATGATAGAGGTTCTGA